TTACTTTCCAAGTAGCAAACCCCAATGTTTTGTTCAAGTTCCAGCCAATTGTGTCTACGAACAAAAGACGAAATGACGGATTCTGACACCTCATTTTTACGTATTCCTGTGGAACAACCTACGTAGGCCGCACAGTCAGGTGTTTGTCAGAACAAATCCGTGAACACCACCCCACATGGCTAAACGAAGGAGCGATTAGATCACTCACTAATGCAGTGGTTCCGTTTGAATTATTGAATAAGCGAGTAGTGAATGGTGAATGATAGAACTGCAAACATAGACAGGGGATTCATGACCTGATGGATCAAGGCTGTTTCATCGCATACGGTTAAAACGTTGATGAGCCAGTTGATGTTGAAAATCAGCGAGCCGTGTAGAAAATTGAGGACAAGAATATGATATGGCTGAGGGCAGGAACATTCGTCTGTAATCGAGGTAATTGAATCACTTAAGGAGCTCAGATTCGTTCCCAGTACATTATAAACTAATTTTTGATGTTCAACGGGGCGAATAAAACCTGTGTTCACAAATCGATACAATGAAGGGAGAATCGCAATACTTTGAAATACTACTTTAGTCCTTGTTTGAAGTTTCCACATAGAGGACGCAATCCTGGTTGATACCAGAACTGTTTTGCATTCATAATTAAATGAGATTTGGAGGTTCCAACTCGAAAGCAAATCCGAGATGCATCTAAGCGATGAATGATAAAAACCTATCAAATTGACTAAGACTGAAAAAATTGAAATATATCAACAGTCTCACGAGCTCATTTGAACGCGTTGCGAATTCAAAAAGAATTATTGTTTGAAATAACCCGCCATACTATGAACAGTTTATCGACGACAGCAACGGGACAGCTCGGCACCCATGGTGTGTCATAGGACGAATTTATGATTAAGTGGGCCAAATGCCCAATGTACTATTACACCCCTATTCGGGCTTTATTTGGCAAGTCATTCGGAGATCCTACAATATATGCGTTGAGCACAGAAGAAGCATACATAAAGTTTTCCGGGTCAACAGATTTCGAACACATACCACGCTGTTGGATACTGGATATTGAAAATGGCCCAGTCCGGTGCAGACCGAAAGCTGCCTGCAAAGCACGCAATCCCAAGAGACCGACCAGATAGCTGGAATGAACCACCGAGAACGGGATACTTTTCGTCAGCACCCGTCAGCGTATCTTCGTCTTGCATCATGCCCAGTGTCAAACCCAAGTGCTCATACGCGTACGTTTTAACTGCCTCGTATAAACCTTGCCAATGACGCTGGAGTAGTTTATCAATGATTTGCTTCTCCGTCTCCGTCAATTCAGTCGGTTCTTTCTCCGATCCACTTAGCAGAGATCTGGGCATATGCCATCCGGGCCACTGGCTTGTTGTCATGCGCTGATCACGAGCATTGGTCGAGAACAGACCGAAAGATCCACTTTGTCCGATCAAGGACATACGGCCTTCGCGGACCTGTTCCTCGAAGTATTCACGAACTTTGAGGACAGCACGCATCAGGTCTGGAGTAGTTGTGCGCACAATTGCGGTCTAAATTAATCGGTCGCGTGAACCAGGCATCGGTAGAAAAGGAAGAAAACAGACGAGTAATTTGTGAAAGAATACGGTGGTGTGGGTTAAACAACTTTTTCTGGTTTACTACACTAGATCGAACAGCACACGCAGCTCCTTTTAGCACGCGCGTGGGCCGAACATTTATTACATTTGCCGAGTGTGTTACAAGAAGGTTGAAAGCAAGAATACATACTTGGAAAATCTCACACAACGAAAACGAAAAAAACGAGTGCTCCCTAAAGATCAACGAAAAAAACATATGACGCTGTTTTTATTCCACGGCGAAGAGATGAAAGGATTGATGCGCGAACAGTAAACAGATGAGCCAAAATTGCAATCTGAACGGTTTTACACTGCAGGCTATGCGAAGAAAACATGGATCGTTCTATTCCCGATAGGACGCGACAGTCATCTTTTCTATATGAGATCTGGTTACTGCCTAATAGTTCTGCTAACAAAGCGGTCGGTTTTCAGGAGCAAAAATTAGTAACCGGGACTTATGCGATGACCAACCCTCACAGGAAAAGTCGGAAAAAGCCAAACGACCTCCGATTATTTACAGCCCATTATAGAAAATAGGGGAATGCTGAGCTGTAAATTATCGAAAGTGGTTTGATTCTTCCCGGCTTACTTCGTATTTTAAAATACTTGCAATTGACAACCCCTTTTCGATGCCGAAAATTAGACAGATGCTAAGTTCAATATGATAGGGTCGTTCGGAGCAAAAATAGGCAAACTCAGAATATCATCACGGAATCAACGTGGTCCTTTGATTATCATTTGGAAACGGAACCGGAAAAAATACGAGAAAAATTAAGTGATTCATAAAAAAGACTGACTAAACTCGTGATCGGAATGGGGATTCATCGGATACGATTGACATAAAGTAGCACCTGTGACCTAATCACTTCCAAGTCACGATCACCAGTTCACACTCCGTTGCCACTTCTCTGGTGCCACGAACCAATGACTACATACCAAAGTAAACTGATGATCACAGTGGTGTGGGAGGTGTATGGGAGCTCAGATACGACAAAGAGGAATAATTCGCAACACAACCACTGCGACACCTGAAAGCGTTGCTAACTTTCGTGCCGGATGAAGTTAACTATTTAAAAGTTTAGGTTTACCCTTGATTAGAAAAAGAGCTGTGCTGATACCACTAACTGTATCCGAATTCTGCGAAACAACGCGAGTCCCAAGTGATATTTATAGTCCTTTTTGCTTTGTATGCATTGATTGCAATGAAGGAAATTAAGTTTTTTTAATCGAACAATAGATGAAAAATAACAAGCATGTAAACGTATAAACACAACCATTTTTAGAATGCATAAACAAGACACAAAACGAATAGAACTAGGGAGAAGAAACTGAAACTCTTCAGTTCAGTTCAGTTCGTACAACCACTAAACATGCACATTCGTGAGTCGGTTTTGGTTGCTGAGAATTATAGGTTGGGACGATCAAATTTGTTAATAAGCAGAACATCGAATTTCGCATTTCTTGCCGCTTCTCAAGAATGTGCGTGCTTCACTATATTTCGCTGTACGGCGATGATGAATATATGAAATACTGAGGTAAAATTTCCTGTTGTAAACATTCACCTGAGCTTGATCCCAATTCAGCTCGCCCACTACTCGAACGTAAACCGGTGGAACACCAATATCTGCCTCCAATGGTTCAAAGGTACCCAATTCCGACTGCTCGAATCCAACCGTTTGTGGCAAAGAACTGATTGTGGTGATAGCCGGTCGAGTAGAATGATCTGATCCGCCCGAAGGGGGACGGTTTGAAATCATCTGTTGCCTCATCACATCTCGCAACTTCCACTCATCTTGCAAGTGCAAACTGAGAGAATTGAGACGTAGGAGAAGAATGTTTGTACTCATGTATTCCACACGCAACTGGAAGCCACGGATTCGGCAGTCTAAATTGTGCTCCGGATCACGTGATGGATCGTCGTCCAGACGCACTAACAATGGAATGGGGAGATGAGAAAGATCAAAAGTACCTACTGACAAACACAAGTATGAAACGATCTGAGTGCATGGGAACAAGCAAACTTCGGAAGCACGATTATAACAAGTGCATACAACATTGAGTATTGAGACATAAGAGGACCGATCAATGGTTCATAGGCCACCGATCAGACGAGGATAGATTACTCGAAAACACCAGAACTTCATCTACTGAGTGACACTTGTCATGGACTGAANTGGACTGAACGAATATAATAGATATTGGACAACTGATGGCAGTGGATCGGTAATTGAGTTATGTTCGAGCTTCACTACCAACGCGCAACTTCCATCGTGAGCGCACCCTTGAAACCAATGGTATCATGGTTGCGTAAATAAAGAAAACAAATGATTACCATTAGGCTGCTGAATTCAGAGAAAACACCGAATGAGCGAAATGCATGGTCAAATGTAGAACCTCCATAAACAACTGTATTTGAGGTTCATTGTGCGGTATTGATAACCCCAGAACTTAGAAATTGGATACCACGGTTACGCAAAACTTCTTTGGGCGGCTACTTTGCAAACAACACTTGAACCTGTCCAGACAGGCAACAGTTAAGACGCACAATACTACCGTATTTATGAAAGTTGGTTTACAGAGGTTTGAGATTGTAACTCCCAAATAGATCAACGAGCGACGCGTAGCCGAAATTGGATCCCAAAGCGTCAACAAAATGAACGATCCGGCAAATTTCTACGGTACTGCATTATTAAACGATCGAATAAGCAAATAAAAACTGTAAAAACCTCAAAGTGATTTCGAAACAACTTGAAAACAAGAGCCAAGTGTTACTGTGAGCGTAATTCAACAAATCTGAATGGAAGAAAATGAGCCTGGGTAAGAATAGCACGCTCACCGGCACGCTGCACACGAACGAGCCAAATGTGAGCGCTCAAGTCGCGATTAAAACAAGTAGGATAAAAATCGAAGCAGATAAACAAACAAAGTCAAATGGTAGGATTGATGTGTAAATATACAAGGGGAGTGGAACGTCAAATGTCTATATGTATGTGAGGCGGATGAGGTTTGGTGAATGGAACGCAAAATTCACGAAATGTGGAACCGAGATGGAATGACTGGGCTTTACAGGAAGGATTTTCACAGATCAATCAATACAGAGATGTTACCTACCGTCACTTTGATAAGAACAAGTAAGATGGGGATGTACAATTAAACTTACGCAGTACATTACTGTCTAGAAGACAGAATTCGCCACCAACACCTCCACCTTCGCTGGTGAACTGACACGTGCCGAGACCAGCACAAAGCATGGTATTCTTTCGACCACTGGAGTGAATCGAAGCACGACCGTCGCAGAACAGATTATCTATCGTCATCCTGTGAGATAATAAAAAGAAACCAACGTGACCATATTACGCTACTCAAATTTGATAAAACACACCACAAACAGTATAATGCTATTAATCAGTGTAACAATTCCAGTGAGTGTTACGATCGAAGGTTTTAGTGAATCACCTAGATTCCGAAATCATTTCCAGTTTGCTGCTCTTTTGAGCCTCAGAGCGACAATCTCTGGCACAACATGACCTCTTAACTAAAATCTTATGAAATCAAGCTTCTAATCAAGCCCCATACTTTTCATCTTATTTTCGAGCATTTAAATATATTTTCCATGTACTCATCAAGGCAACAATAAACCATAGGCATACCCTCAGAATAGTTTGCATTTTTTTTAACGGAATGTTTGTGAGTGTTATCCTAGAGCATTAACATAAAGAAATATGT